ATTGTAGATCAATATTGAGGTGAATCCACAATGGATGGACAAAAGTCACAAAGTATGAGATGAGATTGGGCCGTCATTCTTAAGATGAACAGTATTGAGGAAGCATTAAAGGACTTAGATTTATACATATGGGATAAACAACGAAAGTAACCTAGATTGCGGTAGCAGACCTCAGTAACGATAAATTAAAGTAAAAGTTATGGTATAGTATGACCTACCTTGATGTAGTAAAGTCATACGGATGGATAACTGGGTCTATGAAATAAGATATAGCAATATTCGTAAGTTCGACAAAGTATCGAGCGAAGAACTTCAGTACACCTCAAGATGCCCAGAGAGGCATCCTAGTAAGACTTGTATATGTTTACAAAGTAAGGCCTAGAGATTGGCTAAAAGCTGGAGGAAAAAAGGAGAGAAGAGTCGCATAGGCACAAGGTCAGTATCGTAGAGGCTGCATGATAGAAGGTAGCAATAGTTACGATATTGGAAGGAATTCGATCACAAGTCATGGCGTGGGAAAAAGGCTTAAATGGAAAGGAGAGTATTAAGCTATTACCAAAATCTATAAGTTATGAAAATGATAAGAGCATCAGTCAACATTCGAGGACGAATGTTCCAAAGGGGGGAATGAAGTTACGCCCCGCAATATTACGATGATGTTACGCTTTGCAGTATTAAATTACGACGATGTTGCACCCTGTAGTATTGTATGTTGAATTTATCGTAAGGTAATTGACATCAGTCCAAAAAAAAGATTATTTGGAGATTATAAGGATTATGCTATTTTAAACAAGTTATGAGTAAGTTCGTGAAGGTGAGAGGGGAAACAAGTCAAAGAAAATGAATTTTCGTTGAAGTTTGGCAATTTGGGATAAAATACGGTCCAATCTATAATACCCCGATATTTATGGACTAGTACCATACAAGGTACCATATGACCATGATAGTAGGATGTATAAAGTGTATCAAAAATAAGTAGAATTTTAAATAATTTGAGACAATTCTTAATTATGCGGGTAGTTGGTTAATTATCGGATAGCGAGATATTACCTAATTAAATTAACTGAAAATTTTGAGATAAGTATTAAGATGAGAACGTGGCAGCAAGCCACATATTGTACAAATGACTCTTAGTCATATTAGCTTAGGTGGCCATTTAAAGTGATGTACATAAGATAATGTGGGCATTACGTGTAAGACTTTTAAAGTTTGGCTTAATTTGACTCAAAAAAATCAGCAAGACTTAGAAGTTGCTTCATCTAAGTCATATAACCCTTTTCCTAAATTCAAACATTTCAAAAAAGAACCAGACACTATACTCAATTCAGTAAGCTTTCAACAATTTCTTACGAAAATTAGTAGCTCCTTAGCGACGAAAGTTTTTGCGGTTCTAAAGGAGTACGGTTCAATCTTTCCGAAGAACATCATACGGAATTTTTTCCTACTCCAGGTATATTAAGGCTATCCCTTCTTTCTTTTTGGCATGATCCATACGACAAAAACGAAACGTGCAAATGCACAATTTTCATACATGACTCTATTCATAGAAATATTAGAGATACTTATGTTCTTGATTCTCCATGTGTCATATTATTCTATCATCTGTTCATGGGTCTTAAAAAAATACGTAAGTTGAAAAAGTTTACTTCATGATTTTATTCAAAGACATAATGGTCTTAGTTTTACCTCAGTTATTCTAATGATCCAATAGTTATAATCTTTTGTGACAAATAATGTTCCTTTCACAAAGGAAAGGAAAGGAAAATTAGGTTAGAAACTTACTGATCCTCTATTTTTATGCTACCACCAAATCTTGTTTGTATTGGTTGTAATTTTTCCAACAAAATTTTAATGATTGACTACTATCTTGTATTAACATAATTATCTTTATATGTCAAGTCGCTTATCTAAGTTTTCATGTTTCAAAGTTATTTGGTGACTAAATTGTATTCTATTTTTGACTCTCCAAAAGATTTTATTGTCATGCATTGCATTCATTTATATATATACGTTGACCCATGACCAGATGACGTTATATATGCGTATATATGTATATGGAATATGGAAAAAGGTTATGGCGTTATATACGCACCACCACCTAATCAGCTGGTATACGTTGATGATTTGCCCGCAGTGGCCGAGATGATATAATGGGATGCCCTCAGAGGCTTAATGTTGTTATAAACTCATGTACCCATGCACGACATGACATTCATATGCATATGCATGACACTATAAGTATTTCATGATTTACAGAGTTATCCAGACTTATAGGTTGAGTTATTTACTCTGTACTTCTTCCATGTCTATTATGTACTTATTTATATGCCTTACATACTCGGTACATTATTCGTACTGACGTCCCTTTTTGCCTGGGGACGCTGCGTTTCATGCCCGCAGGTCCCGATATACAGGTCGAGAACCCTCCAAGTAGGCTATCAGCTCAGCGGAAGATGTTGGTGCGCTCCATTTGCTTCGGAGTTGCTTGTTTGGTTAGTATGAGTTAGATGTGTATTGTTTGGTATGGCGGGACTCTGTCCCGACCTTTATGAAAATTATGTATTCTTAGAGGCTTGTAGACAGATGTCATGTACGTAAAAGATTGTATGGCCTTGTCGGCCCATGTTCAGTACACGAGTGGCTATTTTGGTCTTATAGGCCCGTACTTCATATGTATAAGTTTGTATTCCCTCATGCTTTACTCCGGTCCATTTACCTATGATAGGATGATATGAAAGATACGTTACATTGGTACTCGGTTGAGTAAGGTACCGGGTGCCCGTCGCGGCCCATCGGTTTGGGTTGTGACAGTTGTCACCTGCACTATCAATGACATTGTGAGTAATACCCGTCGTTGGAGGAAAGGGTTGGTTGCATTGCTCTTCTATTTGTTGTATCGTGCAAGTCCTTGCGTTTTCTGCAGTCGTGCCCTGGGCGGGCTTGTTGAGGATGCTTGTTAGCAGGTGAGTTAGCTACGCTTCGAGAAGTTTTTTCACAACTGGGGGCGTCCCTTCCTCCGTAGATGTGGAGGCTCCTTTACCACAGGATTTTGTTATGCTGTAGTGTGGGGGCGTTGACCTATCTCGTCTAGGGGATGCACTGGGCGTCGTGCCCTCATCTGTCGTTTCATAGCTTTCGTTGATGACGTTCATGAGGTTAGTTGGGAGGTCACTTGTTATTCTCGTCCTTTCTTCTCGGTTACCTGCCATGTTGGATTTTGTGTACACAAAGGAAGGAGGTCATGTTTTTTTTTTACATTAGTGACTTGTACTAGTTGTAGAGCTAGAGGAAACTAAAAGTTTAACTAAGAAATCCCCACAGATGGCGCTAAATTATTTGACAAAAAAGTATGGATCTTGGTTCAAATGATTAAATTTATGTAACTAAGGGTTAATCTTAGCTAGCAATAATATCCCTAGATGAAGTTTTTAGAGATGTAATAAATGTTAGATGGGTCCGGTCAGACAATGGCAACAATGGGTAATAACTGTTCTAGAAAGCAAGAACAATAATGTAGCATTCAATAACAATAAACAATAATAAATGATATTTAAGTAAATAGGAGGAATGATTCATCCAATAAAGGATGGAATATGTGGATGTTCCTCCTGACAATGATGAATGATAAACAAATCCTTGAATGCTTTCAATTATTCTTAGATCTGATGGAAAAGTATGGACATAAATCTTAGTAAAAAAGTGGTGTTTGTATCTTGGCAAGAGAGAGAGACAAATATTTTAGTCAAAGTGTCTTCATTACAAATGAATATCACATGCCCTTACCATTGTCTTTTTTTTTTTCTCTTTTTCTAGGACATGTTCCTAAGAAACCCTAATAGTACAAGTGCAGAGAATATCCAATAGAATATTCTCTTTTAACATTCTATCTTGAAAACTAATCGTTACAGCTCTATCAACGATACTCGATCTCGACCTCGACCTCGACCCTTGTTGACATCTCCACTACGGCTCTCTTTGACTCTTCAACCATGGATTTTGCTTCTTGAGCCATCTCGACCAACAACGACTTGAGAACTCTTCCCTTGATATTATCTTGTCTTAAATATTCTAAGGGCAGATTTTGACCCATACATATATGATATATGATCTTCCAGATAATCAAAAGATTACACACTAAAAAAATGGGTTTTTTTTTTCAGTTTTAGCCTGCGCCATAAACTACTTACATTCTATAGCCGAAAAAGCGTATATATACAAAAATATATATTTTTTGGCTATTATTTTGAGAGAGGCTATACAGTGTCATTTTCCCTATAAAAAAAATATAGCTAACTTGGGTCACATTCAAACGTAGAGATAATTTTATTTGACTCAAATTACTGTATATATATACTCGTATAACAAAATCATTATCATAACCATTAAACAGCAATGTTGATATATTAATGTTTTGATTTGATAGCATTGTGTGGTTTGCTTATCCCGTTACGCATAAGCTTGTTTCAAAAATTCAAAATGACCACTGAAAATATATAAACTATATTTTGACGAGAGAAATTAAACTAAACTAGTATTTTTTTGGAAAAGATAGACTCAATCTTGAGTAGTTCAAACGTTAGAACTCCATCTTCTCTTTGGTATTTATAGTCTGTTTGGCCAAACTTCTAAAATTAGCTTATTTCAAAAAAATATTTTTTTCAAAAGTATTTTTAAAATAAAGTACATTTTATAAGAAGCAGTTAATGTTTGACTAGTTAATTTCAAAGGCACTTTTGAGTAGCATGTTTGACCAAGCTTTTAAAAAAGTATTTTTAAGTATATTTTTTTCTCAAAAATGATTTTCAAAAAAGTACTTTTGGGAAGAAACTACTTTTCCTGCTTCTCATAAAATGTTTCTGCTTCTACTTAAAGGCATCTTTTTTCCTTCTAAAATTTTAACCAAACAACTTAACTTTGAAAAAAAACACTTTTCGTAATTAAAAAAAATACTTCTAACCAAAAAGAAGTTTGGCCAAATAGACTATTAGTATTTAGATTTTATTATGTTGTAACAATCGAATAACAACCAAACCAACTAGCTATATTGATTCACTGAACGGACTTACAAATACTGAAAATTACAATGAAACAGTAAAGGATAATTGAGAGGGGACAGAAATACACCATAGAAGAAGGGAGAGAAGCTTAGACACAAAGCAAGGAGATGAGAGAAGCAGGCATTTTTCTTCTTCAAGAATAGGCATGCCCTGTATTCCGCCTGGATCCCAAATATAATGCAGGTGTTTAGTCATTGGGCCTTTTCTCCATTTAACTCCAGGCCCAATACTACCAACTATACTACTAACTGGATCAGCCCTGTTGCACACTTCTGGCCCATAATCTACGTGGTCATGCCGGTTCACAACAATACTTCCGCCCACAAAAAGAACCTTGTCCTCAAGGTTCAAGTCAGGAAGGCAACTTCGAGAGCTAAACCCATGGCTGAGATAGGCAAAAACCATTAGGAATAGTATCATAGTTTGGTTGGCAGCTTGGGGCAGTGTTGACTTGGTTTCATCATTATCACGTAGCTGCTGTAGAAAAACCACTTTGTTCAAAATAACATGGCAATAATATGTAGTAATTTGAGATGTGTTCAAAAACACAAAGCACCTAATGATGTCATTCAAGCTTTCATCATTATCACGTAGCTGCTGTAGAAAAACCACTTTGTTCAAAATAACATGGCAATAATATGTAGTAATTTGAGATGTGTTCAAAAACACAAAGCACCTAATGATGTCATTCAAGCTTTCATCATTATCACGTAGCTGCTGTAGAAAAACCACTTTATTCAAAATAACATGGCAATAATATGTAGTAATTTGAGATGTGTTCAAAAATACAAAGCACCTAATGATGTCATTCAAGCTTTCATATGGCATGGTTCTGATCTTAGAAGCAATATTGGCCGTCTCATAAACTTTCTCAACAGCATGAGGGTAATTTGTTGTACTTTCCAACAACTCACAGATATGGCCAACAATAGCTACAATGCCACTTTCAATCCATTCTCTTTCAGCATCAATTCCTGATGAAAGGACAAGAACAAGTGGGCTAGCTTGCCCCAGTGTAAATGCTGGCCAATTGAAAACCTTCTTGGTATTAGTAGAGGCATCTCCCTCTCTATAAAATGAAATAGTAATGATACGCCATAATGTAGGTAATAGTCTCAGATAATTGGATGCCAAGAATTCCCTCAAGAGTACTACTATGATCAAAAGGATCTCCAAAAGCATGTGAAATATATGACCGAGAACACTTCTTAACATGCTCGGACTCGTCGAAGCTAGAATTATCCACCATGAAGTACAGATGAACAGTTTTAGCAGTTTTCTCTTTGCCAAATTTCTCCATTGCTACTGCTATCAACCAACCATGTTCTATTTTGTTTACAGTAGAATTTATCATCATTATCAAATTGAGTTCAATGAGATCCTGCCCTACAACCATACACTTGTTCAAGAGGGTAACATATACTAATGCATGCCCTAGGTCATGATGTAACCTATGACTTGCAACCAAATCTATCATTTTAATGACACCATAAAATGTGTAAGGAGCAAGGTGCACAGCGTGAAGCTTCACCTTATAGCCACTCCTTGATTTTAATACTTTCTGCTCATGTAATATTGCAGCAAATGCAGTTGCTGCAGGTTGCGTTTTACTACTGAATTTTGCAGCAAGAAGACGAGCAAATATATTAGAATCATCTACACCAATTATGACAAGCCCATTAAAGTTGAGGTTCTTTGTTATTGCAACAGAATGCGAGACTTGGGCCAAGAAATCCAATAGTAAGGCCAAGAAATGTGGTCTTGGAAGTGGTCGTGGTGGCCTAGGTGGAACCGTTTGTACATCCATTATGCAACTGGACATTTCATTAGACAACTTGCCACCTTCCATATTACCATTGAGGCTAACTACAACGGAATACAGTGCACTAGAGAAGTAGTGCGGTATATCAAAATGTATATCCAAGCTTTCGAACATAATTAATGGAAGAACAGACTCACCGGGATCAAATGGAAACTCTAATTCAAATTGATCAAGGAAAAATTGATGCAAAGTTATAAAAGGTGTACCATGACCGAGTGCACTGCCTGAGTCGAATGTACTTCTCTTTATAAATAAGTCACAAATACAAGCGGAAAGAGTACAAGGCAACTCCTCCAAGTATTGAGCAAGCTCAAGTCCACGGTGAGGGTAGACTTTTCCGCAGTGTCTAGCCAATGATTGATTCCAATGATCATCACCCGTGAAATGGCAATTACGGACTACTCTTAGAAGCTGTCCAACAATATGAGTAGCTTCTTTGTCTAGTGAATATCCTCGGGCAATGGTTCCATCAAATAGCTTCCCTCCGGCCCAAAGTTCCAACACAAGGTGCATAGAAAATATGTCTTCATAAGATGATGGTCCACTATGATGTTCAAGGTTGCCACGTCGTACTAGTAAACCAATTGCATCACATGAATAGCTGATATTAGAAATTCCTACAACCTCGACAATCTGCCATACTAGCTGCTCAAAATGCAGTACTATGCAACTCAAAACTACAAGCTGAGAATCTCGTAATAATGGTTGCTTAATTACCAACGCAAACTCTTCATCCCAATTTGGATTTTCAGACTCAACAATTAAAATGTCATCAAAGACAGACTTCTCAATAACTGAAACCTCATTAACTATTGTGAGCTTCTTATCATGTTGATGTACATACTTGTGGCTACCCAGAAAAGGAATCAGCCATGATTCCTTATGTGAAACATGATCAAGTAACTCTGAAGTATCTTTTTTGGGACTTTTTTGAGAATCACACTCGTCAGCTCTATTGGACAATTTATCGAACACATTGGCTTCCTGTGAGTTTCCACCGTTGAAGGCGACTTCCAAGTCAGACGAGTTTGGGGCATGGCTCAGAGTTGCAACTGGAGATGCAGAGGTCGGTTGTGGTACCAATGTGGCGTAACTCACGTATTCAACACGGGCTCGTGAAGTATCTGCCCGTCTCACCGAATCTGTGAATGTCCTTTGTCGAAATCGTATACGCAATTTTTCTTTAAAATGCGTCCAATCAAAAAATTGTTTGTTTCGATGCAACCAAGTGAACCAAGCAAGAGCTTCACCATCAAAATAGAAGTAAGGAAGAGGTAGCCAGTCCTTCTGGAGAAGCCAATGTAGGTGAAGTAGTGCTCTGCCCGATAAATCCAACTCTCGAGGTTGCCGTTGCCATTGAAGCGATCTAGCAATGCCATTGGAGTCCTCTGGATGAAAGCACCAATGTAACAATCGAATAACAACCAAACCAACTAGCTATATTGATTCACTGAACGGACTTACGAATACTGAAAATTATAATGAAACGGTAAAGGATAATTGAGAGGGGACAGAAATACACGATAGAAGAAGGGAGAGAAGCTTAGACACAAAGCAAGGAGATGAGAGAAGCAGACATTTTTCTTCTTCAAGAATAGGCATGCCCTGTATTCCGCCTGGATCCCAAATATAATGCAGGTGTTTAGTCATTGGGCCTTTTCTCCATTTAACTCCAGGCCCAATACTACCAACTATACTACTAACTGGATCAGCCCTGTTGCACACTTCTGGCCCATAATCTCCGTGGTCATGCCGGTTCACAACATATGTTTAAATGGACTAAATAAAAAAAAATTAAGCATCTTTATCTAGTTCTACTCCTATTTTTTATTTATTTATTTCTGTTAATAAATAGATGTCTTGTCACTCATTAACCAGCTCATTTATATTTTTCATTTTATAATTATTTTTTTATAAAACTGGATAAGTTCCCTTTTGAAACAAGCACTAGTGATCCACTTTGATGGGAAATATTTTTAAAACATATATATAACATTGAAGAAAAAATAATGGAAAGAAAGTAATAATTATACTAAATTTGCATGCATATTATAGAAGCAATGGATTTCGACAATTCACTAGTAGTAATTATTATATAGCATAGGGGAAAATATGAGAATTTTCAACGTTGAATGATGCACCAACTGAGTAAAATGCTTTACCTTTTTTTCGTGTTTTTCTTGCTGTTTGACTCAACATTTGAGCTGAGTTTGCGAGAAGAGATATTGGCTTTGAGACAACTGAGATCTTCATTAGGAATAAGAGCCAAAGAGTGGCCTATAAGAGCAAATTCATGTACAGATTGGAAAGGTATTCGTTGCAAAAATGGCCATGTTACTGATATTAACATCTCCGGTTTTCAACGTACTACAGTTAGGCAACAAAACCCTCAATTTCCTGTTGAAGCCCTTCAAAATTTGACACTTTTAGAAACATTTAATGCATCTAATTTTGCACTTCCTGGCCCTATTCCCCAATGGTTTGGTTTTAAACTTGCATCTACTTTACAAATTCTTGATCTTAGGTTTTGCTCAATTACTGGTCTTATTCCTTCAAATCTTGGCTATTTGAGTAATTTAACTATTTTATACTTGTCCAATAATAATCTTACTGGGCTGGTGCCATCGGGTTTGGGCCAACTGTCGAGTCTTTCGGTTCTTGATCTTTCACGTAATTCACCTAAAAATTGCACGGGGCGCCCTATTTGGTCGCCCCCATTTAACCTATACCCATTTTTTAAAAAGGTTTTAACTTGTACCCACTTTTTAAACAACTTCAGCCCCCTTTCTCCTCCTCCTTCGTTTTCTTCTTCTTCTTCTTTCTTCTGCTGTTGTTGGTGCTGCTATGAAACTTCAGTTCATGGGATGATTGCCATAAGTATGTTTATCAGATTATTTAAAAACAAATTATAAATAATTACATAAGTTAGTAGACAATAATTTGTGAATATTTCCACGTACGGGAAGTTTAAGGTCACACTTAGTGATTCTTTTCATGATAATTCTGTTCTTTTCAGGTTTATTTGTTTCCAAAATTTTATGATTTGGATACTGTTGGCAATCTGATTATTTTATAGTAATCTGATTATAACAAAACTAATGAATCCAGGACAAAAAAACTTCAGCTTATTTAGTGCTGAAGTTTTTACAAATGAACTAAATAACTTCAGCATCTTCTGCTGAAGTTTTTGAAAAAACTTATCCAAGTCAAAACTAATGAAAAAAAAAAAACTTCAGCTTATTTAGTGCTGAAGTTTTTACAAATGAACTAAATAACTTCAGCATCCTCTGCTGAAGTTTTTGAAAAAACTTATCCAAGACAAAAAAACTTTAGCTTATTTAGTGCTGAAGTTTATATAAATGAACTAAATAACTTCAGCATCTTCTGCTGAAGTTTTTGAAAAAGCTTAATGACAAAACTAATGAATCCAGGACAAAAAAACTTCAGCTTATTTAGTGCAATTACAAACAAAAACTTCAGCAAATAGAAAACAAAACTTTAGCTACTATGCTTAAGTTCAGCAATTACAAACAAAAACTTCAGCAAATAGAGAACAAAACTTCAGCTACTATGCTTAAGTTCAACAATTACAAACAAAAACTTCAGCAAATAGAGAACAAAACTTCAGCTAATATGCTTAAGTTCAGCAATTACAAACAAAAACTTCAGCACACTTGGTTCAACACACTTGTTACTTCAGGCCCGTCTACTAAAATGCTGAAGTTTTGCGTGATTGCCTTTGTTACTTCAGCCCCGTATGCTGAAGTTACGGGAAAAAGTGGGTACGCTTGCAATTTTTTTTGCAAAGCGGGCACAAGTTAAAACGTGACCCAAAAAGCGGGTATAGATGCAAATCCCCCGTAATTCACTTGTCGGGTCAATCCCGGTATCATTTGGGTCTCCTAGGAATAAGGGTGGCAAGTGGGCCGGTTAGGCCCGGGACCGGCCCGGGACCGCGAGCCCATATGGGTAGTGGGCCTAAACGGTCCTACACGTTTAAGCCCGGCACAAAGGAGACATATAATCCCATGTGGGCCGGTTCACAGTAGGGGCCCGTTAGGACCGGGACCGTTAGGGCCCGGGACCGGCTCCTAAGTGGGCCGGTTCAACCGGTCCCAAACGGTCCTAAACGGGCCCAACGGCTATTTAAAAAAAAACTACTCAATTCAATTTCTGACCGTTGCACCCATTTACAATGTAGCGTATTGCTGCCAAAAATAGTGTTGGCTATTTATAAAATAGCCATTTAAACCCCCCCCCCCTCAACTTTATTTTAACCCCCAAACTTTTTATAATTACACTTTTTCCCTATTTTCGACTATAAATACCCCCTCATTCTTTCATTTTTCTTCACCAAATCATCAATCTCTCTCTAATTTTCTTCTAAAATTGGTTACTTTGTTGTTGCAACTTGTGTGAAAAATTGTGAAGTTGGTGAATTGAAGTATTCAAGTCTTCAAGTCTTCAACGATAATTAATTTCAACAAGTTGTTCGTCAATAGTGTAAACTCGTTCCAACTTTCTTTTGTATTTAATATTATAGGTTTTATTTGGTTATTTAATTACTTTGTATAATTATACATTAAGATGGGCCTATTCCTTAAAAAAAATGTTTATAAAAAAAAGGGAAAATCCAAGAGTGGGTGAAATCTAGTAGCCAATCTATTCCTCCATCTAATTCCCGCCCCCCTACCACAAACCCCCATACCCGCCCTCACCTGTCATATTCTTGATAGTGATTAAGTCACTTTATTACAATTTACGGAGAGGTCAATATGTGCATAAATGTTGGACGGGTGTGTGAAAAGCTTAGATCAATAATATATAATTCTCTTTAATGGTAATCCAACATTGATGAAGAAAGATGAGTGGGAAAGGATTTAGGTGAAACGCAACTGTGATGATACAACCCACTAGTCCTGTTACCAAGTTAGCACTTGCACGCTAGAGGATTGTTGTCTCTGACATATGACGTTTGCGATGGCGCAGGGACGCACTCGGAGCGAACTTAATAAATGAAATGCTCTAACTATTTTATATTGCTTATCAAATTACAATAGATAATGCTAGACCAAGATATTCCAACTCCTTCTTCTTCTAGTTCTCAATCATCTTAAAGAACTGCAGGAGTAAGAGCCACTTACTGCTTGGACCGAGTTAGGGGTTCTCAGGTTGTACAACTAGTGATTGTTCACAACTAACTGAGCTTGGAAAGTTTACTGTCTTCAGGGACTTGAGCAAGGAGAAAATCCCGACGGCTCCATTTAATCGTTTGAATGGTGGAAGACAAAAAAAATACTTTCCGATCCTTTCAAGGATGGCCCGAGACATTTTAACCATTCAAGGCTTCAACAGTGGCATCGGACGAGCGCTTCAGTCAAGCAAGACTACAACTCGCGTGATATTAGAGCGTCTATGAGGAGAGCTTTGGAAAATGCAGTACTTTTTAGAGATGATCCGTTCGGAACGAAGAAATTTTAAGACTTGGCTGAATCACAACAGAGGTAGACGAAGCTTACGAAGAAATGTTAGCTGAACTTGCGGAGATTCAGCTTTCACCCGGAAGCGGTGAGAACAAGCTTTTTCCGCCACCACCGAACGGAATTCTCCGAACTTATGGATTTATGAAATTTGTAAGAGAATACATATAAAATTAATAATGTAACTTGTATTTTGGCACATCTTAATTAGTTTCTTTTCTTCTCTCAATTTGGGTGGTAAATTAGCCACCTTGGTTGTGCTCATTCCATGGAGGGAGGGGGGTGAAGCTAAGAAAGATTGCGGGCATGTTTTCTTAGTGTTATGAATATAAAATTATAACGCATTCCTGAATATCTTTTTTACACATATTTGTAATTTGAATGAAAATTTTAAGTCACAATTATATATCATAATTACAAGAAATTGCCTTAGATAAAAATATTAACAAATAAGATGCCCACAAATAGAATAGGCCACACTTAGCCCACTCCTCCCCCCCACACACACACCACACACATTATATTATATATATATATATATATATAAGCTATATAATTTACAAGAAATTACCTTAGATAAAAAAAAATTAAAAAAAAATAGTTAAGGCCCACTTAGGCCCGTTTAGGCTCGTTTAGGACCGGGCCTGGCCCACATAGCCCGGGACCATTAGTACACGGTCCCGGTCCCGATCTGGTTACACCCAAAAGCCCATGAAGCCCAATTCCGTTTAAGCCCGGCCCACGAAGCCCGGCCCACTTAGAACCGGACCGTTTAAGCCGGCCCGCGAGGCCCGTTTAGGACCGGCCCGGACCGTTTGCCACCCTTACTTAGGAACCTTATTATGCTCGATATGTCTTCGAATTATTTGTCAGGGCCTATTCCTCCTAGTATTGGGACTTTATCTAACTTGAGATTCTTGAATCTTTTAAATAATAGCTTCTCTTCTTCGTTAGTTGTCCAAGGTGGTTACCTTAATAAAGTGGATTAGAACTTATGGCCAATTGGGAAGACTGTCCAAATTCTGATGATATGTTATATTCTACAGAATAACATTTACAGCTTGTTTGGATGGTCGTTCCCCATTGTATGATATTGTATTATTATGTCAAAACAATGTTTGTTTTGGTTGTTTCATTAAAATCGGTTGTATTGTATTGTTAAATCCATTG